AGTCATTGCAGATATTGATTCTCTAGTTGAGAATTTGTCTGCATTGTCAGGGTCTAGGGCATCGTCAATATAAGCTGCCTCTAGTTGCTTACGCAAGTTATCGATTTTAACTGTATATTGAGCTGCTGTTTTGCTTTTTTTTGCACGCTTAGCAGCCTGGCCTTGATTACGTCGGTTGATTAACCTTTGACGTTACTTTTTAATTTATTAATAATGCCAGTGATTGGTGTTTCATCTTGGCATTTGTATAGTATTGGGCCAGTTATTTTTGATTTTATCACTTCATAGGCCAAATCTTCTTGGTTGCCTTTTGTTCGTTCTACGAGCGTTAAAGCTGTTAAGAAACGATTTAGTGACAGTTTTTTACCGTCAAATTCTGGGACCGTAGACGAAATTTGCCTTACGTATTCCCTGACTAGGGCTACTTGATCTGGCATGGTAGACTTCTTCCAGTGTCTCAATGTCGCTATCACAATTTGTATCTATGATTGGCTTCGACTCGTTAAGATCTTGGAACTGGCTTGGTTCAAACCCTGCTATTGAAAATAGATCTTCTGGTACATTGACTTCAATGTTGTGTCTATTGTCAATATTTATTATTCTTGTGTTAAGGGATTTTACAATTTTCAAACACTGTTTAAGATGTTGGCTCGTTAGCCTATCTTTGAAGTTATTTACAGTCCGTAATATATTGTTGTACTGTGTGATTATTATGGTTGTTGCGTCTTATTGTTGCGTCTCTGTTGACACATTTGTAAGACTTTTCAAATTTGTCTTTAAAATCATTTATTTGTCGCGCTATAACGTTCCATTCCATAACTTTTAATAGTATATATATGCTATGCTTTGTTCTATTTAAATTTCTGTTCAAATTTTAAAAGTTTGGAAATTTTATGTTTTATCTAACTCATTAGCCCTACTCATGTAGCGTTTCTTTATTCTTTTGTTATGCATTGCATAAACTTTTAACGCTAACGAAATAGAAATAACGCTAAAAATAATATTATAAGCAATAAAATTGCAATATCTTCTACATTTTCCCTATGATCTATTACTTTAACGTTATTAATAACGTTTGCGGCTGATTTTTCAACCTTAGACTCGTTTTAGCCCATTTTAATTAGAATATGTGAATTAAAAATGTTTTTGTACCAATGTACAATCGCAAAAGGAAAATATATTAAGAAAAAAAAACAATATTAGTTTACATATGACCGATTTACAATATTTTACTCTATAAAATTCAATATCAGTCATATGGTATTAGTATAAAAGCCTAACAGTGGTTAGTGTTTTTCAGGTAGCGCAATTTAGGCATTGGCATCATTGCAGCCCTTATTGCGTTGCTTCGCACCGAAGTTGTTTCTCGATGAGCCTGAGATTCATCATGTGTTCATCTTATTCCTGGGGCGTTGTCGCTATTTTGATGAAGTCCTTTATAAGTCTTCTCTGTTGTAGTAGTTTGATTCTTTGTCCGCTTCTTTTTGTCATCTTCTTCTGTTTCTTCTCTTGTCGCGCCCTGTACTCAGCTATTGTAAGTGGGCGTGGTCCATCGCTTGGATACACCTCTAAGGCCTCTTGCAGGCTGGGTGCATCCCTTTGCTCAATAGGAGCAGCCTCTTCCAGTCCAACGTTGCTCATCTATTGTTACTTTTAGTTTTCATTCCAGCGTTGGTGCAAGGGGCGGACTGCCTCTCTCACACTTTTATTAACTGCTGCTGCTGCTTATTATATTTTTAATTCGAAAATTGCAGTGTACTGTACGGGGCCTTTGTTAATTATTGGCATTTATTCTTGAGTTACAGAATATATATCACAAATTTGTTTTATTGTCAGAAATTGTTGTGTTTATTTATATTTGTCTAACACTTTTTTTTCACTTCGGACCAAGTCACGGTCGCCATGTTGTCGAAAGATATTATCGGATTATTTGAGTTGATAAGTAAAATACATGCACGTCAGTGCGATCTGAAGTTCATATTGAGAATGATTTTATGATCTTCAAAAAGCGGCTTAAGCGCAAGCTCAGCGTTCCCACGCTAGCTTGGCCTGCTCAAGTGGTATTTATATATGTGCATACATATATACGATTATATTTATGCTATGCGCTTGGATTGATTCTTTATATTTGTTTATACTTGCAACAAAGTGTTACAAGTTGAGTTATGTATGAATACACTACAATATCTGTAAGGTTTATGGGGCTAAGGTCACAACATTTGACAAGTAGCTTCTTGAATAGCATGTAGATGTTTAGTATCTTTCATTTTATAACAATCGCCACCACCGCCTCCGTACCGGTGCTATGAATCAAATAAAAAAAACCAATTTGAACCTCCCACCAATGTAATAGACAATTTTAAAGCAATTGTGTTTTTGAAAATATGCAAATATCTGTAGTACAATGAGATCTACTGTTGAAAATTTCATCAAGATCGGTTTGGAAACACAGAAGTTATTAAAGAAAGCGTGTACTTAGAGACACGCAAACTGCAAAAAATTCTGTTCATGTACACACACACACACATTCATGCGCGTCTTTCAAGTCTCTAGCTCGTATAGGCTCTGAGATCCTTGCGATCTTAAATACGGGCAGGCGGACGGACAGACGGGGTAGGAGACGCTTTCATCTATCTGCTACATACATTTTCACAAATTCATTATATACCCTTTTTACCCATTTTCACTGGGTCCAGGGCATAACAAGTTATAGTAACAATTGAGATTAGCAATCTATATACCAATGGTACTCTCGACCTAGGTCAATTCTGCCAAAGGCTTGATACAGATGCCGGTATAAACAAGATAAGCCAACTCAAAGAGGCACCGAGCTAAAAAATCTTTGAAAACAATTCAATAGATACTTTTCAAATTATGGCCAATAAATATTTAAAGAGCCTAAGAGTAGCTCTACTCAAGCCGGTGGTCTAGATAAGCACAGATAACGAAAAAAGAAGCAATGTTGTCTGCGTTCCATGATGAGCCCATGCAAGGAAGTCATAGGCATTTCAAAAACGCTAGCAAAAATAAAAAAACTTTTCTACAGGAAAAATCTGACACATCATAATTCGAGATCGTTAATTGTAGAAATGTCAAAATATAAAAACAAAAAGCACAGTAAGTACACAAGTAAGTACAGTCAGGAAATACTAACGAATATGCCGTCACGATTATTACTGAGCTATAAAACTACCTTATTGCCATACCTATAGCGAATAAAAATCAAAAAGCGCTGCAAAAGTTATATTTGAATCCTTAATTCTAAAGTACGTTGCAACGAAGGCATTTCAGTACGGATATGAGTACAGATTTCAAGAATTCCACAAATAATGACTTGTGCAATAATTTTATCTTTCTTGATATAAATTTTTTACCGTATTTTAACATATATTTGAAAGTGTTAATCGCAAGATCACTACTTTTCGCATATCGTCTTTCTATATGACTTGATATACGTTGGGCTTAGAAGCATTCACAAGAGTTTGCCCAGGCAATATTTGTTGTTCATGTTCATGCTTATCCCCTGTGCAGAATTTATTTTGTCTACTTTGAAGTCTTAAAGTATCTTTTATGACTTGGTATGTTATTTCTTTTAATTATTTTATGGGTATTCTTGATACCGCATCTGCAATATGATTATCTTTACCCTTAAGATATTCAACTGAAAATTCATATTCTCTTAGTTCTAATGTTTAACTAAGGTTACTTATGGTATATGATCTGTTTGTTAACTTTAAAATGTTTAATTTCCCAGTGGATTTTTACTCTTTCATTTTGACATCATTGTGATCTTGTATAAGAACTGATTCTAAGCAAGCGTTCAAGCCGGTTGTAATGCATAATTAATTTCTAAAATCTGGGTATTGTAGCAATGTTGAGTTGCACTGTTCATTCGAATTTTACATCCCTGTCACATAAATGTGTTATGTGGCGAGAGTTATCCGAGAAATTTTTAATTAAACTTATGTCACAATTTTTTGTGTTCTTTATAAGAATATCATTCTTGGTTTATGTACTTAAGTCGAGCGACGTACACTTTGCTCTGTTCGCATTGGTGTTTCTATAGGTGTTGACGATCCCCGCAAAATTGGCGATCCCCTTGGTGCTGACATCAGTACATCGTGATTTAGTGAATTATTATTTTCAGTAGAGCGCGAAGATTTCGGTGTTCTGAAGCTATCAATTTCATCTGCCTGACTGCCCTGTCAATTGTCGGTCGATATATCTGATCCAATACTGTACTCTTTTGGTCTCTGATCTGCTATGTTATAAGCAGGTGGTGAGCTGATTTTCACTGCTGTGTAGTGAGGTGTATTTTCTGGATTCCTTCCCTCTATGTTTTGTTGTTGTTCTCTTCCCTCCTTCCACCCTGTGCCTCGTATCTGGCTGATATGTCTTTTATGGAATTTACTGTTGTGTCGATTTTCATAATGAAGGTCTTACGATCTCTAGTCGTATCCACTTATCCATTCGCGGGTTTTCAGAAATGAATTAAACTACACCCTTAATCTCAAATTGGCACCACGATTACTTGCATTTTAAAAATTGTTTTGCTGATACCTTTTCCGTGATGATTTCTGGTCTGATCAAATCCCGTCGTGTACGTAATTTACGACCCAAGAAAAGTTTCGCTGGAGCTTCGCCAGTTGTGTTATGCGGAGCGTTTCTGTATTGCTGTAAGAATTCGTTGACATTTCTTTTAAGTGTGCTGGATGTCGTTCCCATTGCCTTTAGTGCTCTTTTTAGCGTTTGGACATTTCTTTCTGCTTGACCGTTTGTTGCGGGGTGATAGGGTGCTGATAACTTGTGATATTTGACGCCAACAGATGTGAGGTATTGCTTGAATTCAGCCGAAGTGAAATTTGTCCCGTTATCGGAGACTACCATGAGGGGGACACCATACATAGTAAATAAATCATCTAGTAATTCGCTTGTTTTTGTTGCCGTAATTGATTTTGTGATGTTAACGTCCAACCACTTTGAGTATGCATCCGTGACAATCAATCAAGCATCGCGCCTTCAAATGGGCCCGCGTAGTCGATGTGAATGCGCTTCCATGGCGACTTAGGGTACTCCCAATAGTGATCGGAGCATTTTTGAGGTTGATTCGCGTGTTTTGCACAGAACTCGCATGTTCTTGCCGCATTCTCGATGTCCTTATCGATTCCTGGCCAGTAGACGAAAGAGCGTGCAATACCCTTCATTTTTACTATACCCAAGTGGGCCTTGTGTAGTTCGTGCAGAATCAGTTTTTGAAGTTTAGTCGGGATAACCACTCGATGTTCGAAAGTAATGCAGCCCGATGATATCTCATACTTGCACTTTGGTGATTTGTATCCATTTCTTGTAAGACATTGGCCGCTCTCCATTTGCAGTATTTGCAAAATTTTGCCCAAATGCTGGTCTTTTCTGGTTTCTCGAGCAACTAGCGAAGCTATAACTGGAAGCTGATTTATTTGTCGTATTATAACATTATCGAATGCGTCCCGATTGGCTGTGTTAGAGTGGATACCATTACTCGTGTTGAGTGGTAATCGAGAAAAGTAGTCAGCATTTACATTTTCTTTTGATGTTTTGGTAATTACTGTGAAATTGAAGTTGCTTAAAAAATCTGCATAGTTTGCCATCCTAGAAATGCATACTGTCGATAGTGATTTGGTAGGGTGTAAAATTTGTAAAATTTCCAAAGTTGACAAATTTGGTATGAAATTTGAGTAGAAGGCTGCTTTCCCAAGAAACAGCTGCACGTGTTCGATTGTAGATGGTTCGGCGCTTTTAAGATGGCCTCAATATGCTTAGTTGGTTTATGTATGCCTTCTGCGTTAATCTTGTGTCCCAGAAACTCAACCGAAGATGCGGCGAATACACATTTTGATTTGTTCAATTTAAATTCCAGGCAATGTAATTTTTCTAATGTTGCTTCTAAGCAACTCATCAACATCTTTTGCAAATATTCGAATGTCGTCAAAGAAGTTACGTACGTTAGAAATATTTTTCAATGTGGCCTCCATTGTTCTATGCCAGATTGCCGGTATGTTCGCTGCTCCGTACAATGCACGAGTCGGTCGAATGAGACCGTGTGTTGTCGTATTTAATGTTAGTACGTGCGCGAATTCGTCATCTATGCGCAAATGTGAATATGCATCAGTTACATCCAAGTGTGCGAACACTGTGCATCCTTTCATTTGGTTGAATATATCCTCTGTCTTCGGAATCTGATGCTCATCAATGATCATTTGAGCATTTACAGTCGGTTTGTAGTTGCCAGTGATTCGTATACCTCCCGTTTTCTTCGTTATCACATGTGTTGTGGATCCCCATTCTGAGTAATCAACTCGTTTGTAGAAGCCTGCAGCAATTTTTTCGTCGATCTCTTTGGCATAAGCATCACGTAGCGCGAATGGTACATCTCTTGCGCGAGCAAAAATGGGTTTCGCGTCCAGCTTTAGGTGCACCTTAATAGCTGGTCCTTTGAAGGCTCCTGCTGCAGAGTCAAATATCGAATCAAATTTTGTTGGTATTTGCTCTAGTTGTGCCCTCTTACTCGTAGTCAGCCCCGCCGCTTGTAATGCTATTGTTTTCACCGCGCTTTCTTTTGTCGAGAGCATTTCCAGATCTATGTCGTTGGTGTTGACAGAATTGTTTGTAAAGATCCCAGTAAAATCAATTTCTTTTGCAAATTGGGAGATCCTTCTCGCCAAACAGTGTGTCCAGGTTTCCTTCTACTACATACAGATTTAGTTTACATGTAGTCTTTCCATGAGTCACGTTAACAACTGCCCGCCCACAGCAGTTGATCCTGTGCCCTGTATAACTCGAAAATTTGCGGTCGGTTTTCTATAATCGTATTACCGGTTTAATTTTCCGAAGGGTCTTTTCATTCATTATGCTGCACCTGTGTCCAGTTCCATTGGTATTTTTATTCCATCAATCTTCATTGTTATGATTTTTCTACCTATCGACTTGATGGCGTTGGTATTAGATTGTTGTATAAATTGTATTTCTACCGGGGCGTCTGAATCTGTTTGCTCGGAGATCTGTTTCGTATTGGCTTTACATACCTTACTTATATGGCCTACTTTACCACACACGTAGCATTTCTCGTTTTTGAATTTGCAATCTTTGCGCAAGTGTTGGCCTCCACATCCGTAACATTTGATTCCTTGCTTCACTCCGCTTGACGGATTTCTCCTGATTGGCGAGAAGCCCAGTTTGCATGTAGGCTCTGTATCTGCAGCTTGGTTGTCATTAACCGTGTTTGCTGATAGTAGTAACAACTCCCTGGCATATGCAGCCTCGTATGCGTCTGCAAAGGTTGTTGGCTGTTTTGCGATTACCTCATCGCAAGTGCTACGATTTTACATGCCGAGAGGCATTTGTTCTGTTAGCATTCTGTCTAAAAACGAGTCGTACTTGCAAAATGATGCTGCCTGTTTCAAGCGTAAAACAAACGCTGCTAGCGACTCCTCTGGCTCCTGGCGTAGTTGGCGGAATTTGAAACTCTCTGCGTAAATGTTTCGTTTGCCATCGAAGTGATTAATTAGCACTTCCTTAATCTCGCTGAATTGTTGCCTCGGACCTATCAAGATACGTAGCGCTGAATTCAATTCAGCTCCCATATGCACCCTTGCATAATGGTGGTGGGCAGCATCAGGAATTTTACTCAGTTGCAGTGCCCATTCGAATCGTTGGAAGTAGTCTTGCACTGTACAGTCTTCACTGCCCTTAAAGTTTGGCATTGTAAACGGGGGTACTTTCGTAGAGATTGCTGCCCCACTTTCATTTTGACCCGCTTGTTGCACTGCTGACTGACTGGCGCTAGTCAGTGAACTGATGACGTCTCGTAGTTGGTCGTTAACAATGCTCATTTTGACCACTTCTGACACCACTTTTGTGTTCTTAATTCTTCTTTATTTTACTTGGGTAATTTCACAAGTCGTGTGCTAAGCTATTTCATCATAAAGAGAAGCTATAGATCGCAATTCAATCCCGCGATAACTTACATGCTAAGTAGTAGCTTAAATTAAAGTCAGACTTAATTGATAATAAAATAATTTACACAATTGTAAAATGCAACAAATCTTTTAGCGCAAACACGTCCGTAGGGTCTGGGTACTTCTGAATAGCATAGTATTTTTTGTCATCTTGTTAAATACCTTTCTTAGTATACTTGTGACCTAGAAAAGTCACTTAATGCATAAAAAATGAGAACTTTTTAGAATGTAGTTTAAGGTTGTTTTTCTGCACACATCAAACACATTTGTGAGGTTATTAATCATGTTTTTTCGAAACAATCAATGACTATTACCCCATCCATTTATAGAAAAGCTTGAGACCGTTTAAGAGTTGAAAATGCTATTTTCATCATTCGTTGGAATGAGTTTGTCCGTAATTTCAATCCGTATACCAATCGCGAGAAACGATAGAATCTATAGCTGGTTGAAAAATACTTTTTATTTCAATAATTTTCAACAAGTTCAATCTGGTAAAATCCCGATATTTTAAAGGACCATTTTAACAGGGTCTGCCGCTGTTAGGACAAAGCTGGGCTAAATGGACTAGCTTTTTGACCGCGAGTGAGCACATAGGTACATAGGGAAGGTGCCACACTACCTACATCTAGGGTATTGATGAAGGTATCGTACTAGACCTGGGCCAGGTTGAGGCAGGACTTCCGGCGAAAAGCTTTTCTACGCAAGTTAACTAGATAAAGTTGTCAGTGATTGGGCTTACGATGAACTAACTAACATAATTTACAATTTTATTCAACTTATTAATAACCCTTTAAATTAACAATTGAAAAAATTTCAATATAACCAGAATAATTGTAAAAAAAGCTAACAACAAATTCCACTAGACCAAATACCTAATCACTTAACCACCGGTTCTAATTCAACAGACATTCATTTCTCGAACTAACTAACAAAAGAAAAGCTTGAACATTTTCGGCTGTAAGCCTCAGACAACTAGGAGAAAAATCAGGAGGCAATGAAATATGCAAAGAAGGTGGAGATACAGGGTCAAATGTGTCCGAAAATATATCAGCAAGAAGAGAAATATATAACTGCGGAGGAACAGCTACAATTAATTTCCCAAATGCAACAGTACTATTGAATATTAACAGACTGTACATTTTTTATAGAAACGGAATGTAACATGCGATATGTGGACCATAAATTTGGAAGCGCTTAGTAGCAATTTTATTAACACACCAATGAAAAATGGAATAATATCACACAAAAGAAATATACCGAAATAGAAAAGAAGTTATTAAATAAAATATTCTCACGAACAAGAAATTATTTTATATTTTATAAACATTGTTGCCATAGTAAACGCTACTCTATACATATCAATGCACATTCGAGGATAGACTTCGACTAAATAAAGGGGAGTAACATAGTAATAAAAGTTAACAGCTGAGGAAATACCAATAAATACAAGATAGAGTGCGCTTGTCGGGACCCTTCCTGCACCGTCTTCTACCAAAAGCAGATGCTTGCTTAAGCTTAACCCTTTTTATCCTATTTAGCGGGCAAAGGTAAATCCTAGCATTATTAAGAATAAATTAAACAACTAAGAGAGCGATAGTCGGCAGTGTCCGACTAAAGGATATCATGAACCTTCTACCAAAACCAGATGCACATCGCACAACTCGCTCACTTTCTCAAGCCCAAAACTTTTTGATTTATTCAACGGGTAAAGGGATATCTTCTGTTAAGCAAAGCTTTCAGAACCTATAAGAGCTAGAGACTTGAAATTAGCTACAGGTCCTCCTAGTGCCCGCGCAGATCGAGTTTATTTCCGATATTCGATAACTTTCCCCGTTTCCAAGTAATCGATAAAAATCGATATCTAAATCCTGTTTTTTGAGCAATTTTGGTAAATAATAAGAGCTAGAGTCACCAAACTTGATATGTTGCTTATAGAATAGTATATATATACCAAGTTTCTTTCATTTTAGAGTTATCACTACCTCCCTGCTTCTACCTCATAGCTATAAATCAAGTAAATAAACCAATTTATGCTGCCCACCAATACAAGCCATACATTTGAGAATACACAAACATTCTATAGCACAAAATGAAAAGTTCATCAAGATCAGTTAAGAAACAGAAATTATTAAAGAATTTTTGGGCCCTCATCGTATCAGCAAGTGCATTTTGCAAGAATTTCTGTATACATATACACACACAAATTTATACGCGTCTGCTTTGAATTCTATCAACAGCATTGCAATTGCGATTGTATTGTTTTCTGTTGGTGTTTTCAATTATTGGTGTGGCTGTTGAGTAGAGGCGGCGGTAAGTGTACGGTCTGTTGCTAGCTTGAACCCTAACGAGGAACCTTTTTTGTTTTTGTAGGCTAGTGTGGCTGTTTAGTAAAGGCAGCAACAAGTAATGCGGTCAGTTGCAAGTTCGAACCAGGACCAAGGGAATTTTTTATTTTTGTAGGTAATCTTTACTACTACTTAAGCAAACGAGCGCGTAGCTCGATCTGCATTTGGTGTTGAAATAAGAGGGTTCAGGGTATCCCCTAGTCAGGAGCTCCCGATTAGAACCTCTTATCCGTGAATAAAAATTTTAACAATAACAACAACAACATCAGCAACACATAGCAAAAACCAAAACACACAAGCGACATTATTGAGGAAAAAGCTGCTCCTGTCGAGCAAAGAGATGCACCGACTATCCAAGCATATTTGGAGGTGTGTCCAAACGCGCGACCACGCCCACTCACTATAGCTGAGTTCCGGACACGACAAGAAAGAAAACCTCAACAGAAGAAAACAAGCAATAGGTTCTAGTCGGCAGCTCCCGACTAGGGGATACCCTCAACCCTCTTCTTCCAACACCAAATGCAGCTAGCGATACGCGCTCGTTTGCTTTAGTAGCAATAAAGAAAAGTTAAAATAAAAAATTGTTCTCTTGGGAGGGTTCGAGCTCGCAACTAACCGCACCACTTGCCGCCGCCTCTACTCAAAAGCCACACCAATAATTGAGTTTTAATGAGAAAAAACCAACTAAAATAGCAGCACAGAAAACAATGCACCCGCAATTGCAATGCTGTTGATAGAATTCAAAGCAGACGCGCATGAATGTGAGTGTGTACATGTATACAGAAATTCTTGGAATTTGCGCTAGCTGATGCTAACACCTGCGCACAAACCTTTTGTGTTTCTTAACCGATCTTAATGAAATGACAGTACATCTTATAGTAGAAAATAGTAAAGAATATTTGTGTATTCTTAAAAAGTCATTTGCATTTAAATTGTGGCTTTAATTGATGGGCAATACAAGTTGGATGATTAACTTGATTTATAGCTTTGTGGTGTTAGCGGGGAGGTGGCGATAGGTATGAAATGAAAGATACTTGATATTTATATACTATTCTAGAAGCTACATGTCAAGTTTGGTAACTCTAGCTCAAATTTTTGGCGAAAATGGATCAAAAAACAGGATTTCGATAGCGATTTTTATTGATTATTAGGAAACGGGGCAAGTTATAGAATATCGGAAACAAACTCGATCTGCGCAGCCACTAGGAGGACCTACAGCTAAAATTTCAGTCTCTAGCTCTTATAGTTTCTGTTATCCTTGCGATCATACATACGGACAGACGGACGGACGTACTGACAGACAGATGGCTATTGATGCTGATCAAGAATATATATAATTTATGGGGTCGGAGATTCTTCCTTCTGCCTGTTACATACATTTGCACAAATACATTAAACCCTTTTTACCCATTTTCAATGGGTTCAGGGTATAAAAATCTAAATTTAAAAAAAATATATATAAACAAGTTTTTCTCAAAATTTTTGCTATTTCAAACATTTTTTAATAAAAAAAAAATATATATAATTTATCAAAAGACAATAGGGCCAACGTGGTCACTAGTGTCAAGATAGTCGATCACACAAATGACTTCCAAGCAC